AATTCCAATATGAAAGCTAATTTTTCTACGATGTGACGACAGATGCTTGAGAGAGCATCTATTTTTTATATTATCACGTTATATACATAGTAAAAAAAAAAGTGTAAAAAGAAGTAAAACAAAAGAACCGTACGTAAGTTTCAATATATATTTGTTTTTGTTAAGAAATTCGGTAAGTATAACAATCATATAAGTAATGATATGAAAAAATAGCATCATTCAACATGCAATAACAATCTCATAAGCATAAGAATAATGTTATCACAACTTATTCTCTAAAAGAAAAAACCTCACGCATTATCAATACTAAATTTATTACATATTTATTGACTTTAGGGTGTCAATTAGCAAGTGCAAATTTAAAATCACATTAAAAACTAAATTTTATGTTTAAAGAATATGAAATTTATATATATAATATTTATTGAATTCATATATTTCGTAAAAAAATATTAGTAAGGTATTTTAAAAGGTAGTAAAAAACATAATGTAATCAATGTTTATCATGAGATTGCTTTAAATGTCTTGACATGATTGGATCATATAACGGTTTAAATAGTCTGCAAGTATGAAATTCTACAACTTTTATGTCTCTGAACACATGGGAAGAAAACAAGATTAACAAAATGTACAAGAAACCATTATTCACGACACACGATAAACCATTGTCAATAAATGTGAAAAAAGCTAAAACATTATCATGTGAAACAAATAAGTAGTTTATTCAAAGTAAGCGCTATGTTTGATATATCATAATTTAAAAGTAATTAACAAATAAAACAAATCAGTAAGTTTTGGTTTAACTGAGTTATCTATAGGTAACATATTGCATTTGATTATTCATAATAAATGCTAGACCTAGTCAAAATTGAATTATACAATGCTATCAAAATCAGTATCATGAATATGATTTACAACCCAACAATTATACAGGAATAAAATATTAAAAGACACCTCTATTATTTGGCAACTATAAACTAATTTTTTTCTTACAAATAAATATTTGACCTAACAATTTTATTTGTTTTTGTTATTTATCTTTATTTCTCATAATGATAATTAAAATTATCATTGTTTTTATTTTGTTTATTTTTATTTTTTATTATTGCTTTTTAAATAATTAAGGTTTTATTTAATAAACTAGAAAATAAAATTATTTGGTTTTTATTTGTAAAAATATTATACTTAAAATTGAATAATATATCCAAAAAAATCAATTATCAATAAATTTCGTTACTTTAATTACAAAAATTTATATAAATAGTAGACTTCACTAAGTTATAGAAAGACACAATCCTATTAGGGAATAAGAAATTAATCCTAAAAGGTAAAGACTCATTTTAGAGGATACTATCCCCGTGAGGTCCAAACTCTAATTGTAAGAATATAAAGAAACAAAAGATACAAAAATGCAGGGATGAGTTAATTATTACAAAAATAATCTCTAATTAAAAGATATCCTAATACTCACCAAAATTCAATTAATTAAAGTCCAAACATTAAATTACAACAAAAATTCTAAACTTTTGTTTTCAAAAGACTAATATATTGAATCAATTTGTTAGACGTTGCACTTGCCATATTAACCATCCTCTCCTCATCTTATAAAATAATAACTCAAGTCATATTATTTTTGTTGATAAAAAGATAATATCTTTTATTTTTAATCTATTTTCTTTATTTTTTTTCTCACTCTCTTTATCATACAGCCCAAAATAATTATTCTCTTATTCATTTCTCATTTTTGACAAAGTAAAGATAAGAGGAATTAATTTTTTTTGTTAGCTAACTAATAAAGTCTTTCCTTTTTCCTTTTTATAACTTTGTGTAAATATGATTTAGAAAAAGAAAATTAAAGAAGAAAACGTATTGAAAAAAAGGAAGGAAAAAGAAATAGAAAGCTAGATTAAGATGATTTCTTTTAGTTTTTTTTTCATGAAAAGAAATGTAATATATATTTTTTTTGAATTTCTTATAAAGTTAAAAGAGAAATAATTTGTAAGGTATATAAGAAAAATAATTTGGTATTTTAATTTTCAAGATTAATTTTATATAATACTCCAAAAGAAAAGATATTATTAAAGAAATGTTAGGTCTCCGCTACTTTCTTACATGTTATAATGCCAAACGGAAAAAGAAATTGATTTTGTAATTTTTTTCTTTTCTTTGCAGTCTGTTCTTTCGTGTTATTTTTAACTTTATTTTTATTTTAAAAATATTGTTCATAAGTTTCTCTACTTCCGGTTGCTGTAGCTCTTAGAACTGATATTTTCGGCTCGAAAAGAATTTTTTTTTTCAAGCTTTCTGTACGAAATTAATAAAAAACCAAGGTAAATTATGAAGTAATGAGATTTCTATATTATTACATTTTCTATATTACTTATTTTATTCAAGTTATTTTCTTTAGTTTCTTCAGAAAAAAAATTGTTGTAATTCAGTAACGAAATATAAATCTATTATTTTGCATTAGGTTAGATATTTAGAGTTGTTTTTGTTGGATTGAGAGGAGGACTATTCCTACACAATTCTCCTGGACGAAGGTCTCCTTCTCATCCTGCTTTGAATGACCGATTTGAGGGGTGACCTGCAGAAGACACTCTGACCTTTAAATCAGATGTTTTCTCTAAAGGTTTAAAGTAATTAAATTATGAAAAAGTGTGTCTTATCCGATTGGATATTACTACGAGTTGAGTCAAATGAACCAATCGGCTGGGGTACGGAAAAAAACTTCGAAGGGGACACGACAACAGTTGAACAAAGTTAAAGTGTAATTAATATAGTAATTATTATTGATGAATGATTAATGTTGCATTAATGACTATATATTAAGAGATAAATTAATAGGTCTGATTTTTTTAATCTCTACAAACAGATGTTTAATTTCGGTAAGACACACTTTTACAAAATTTAATTACTTTATGTCTTAAGAGAAAATATCTGACTTAAACGTTGAAGTGTCTTCTGCAAGTCACCTCCTCAAACCAATCGGTCATTCAGAGTGTGCAGAAATCATCCTCATCCCAATCCAAGAGAAACAAAAATTTATTTCACAACAACCAACAACATCTATCTGTCAATTATGGTATTTTTCACAATTGAGTATATTTTATGTTTATACAAAAGATTAACTAAGGGTCGGCACTCGTTACCCAAGTCACAAGGCAAAGCTATTGGTGATGATAATAAATCTCTGCTTATACCGTGTTTCAGGAAGAAGTCAAGTTTCCAATCACACCTTTTTAAACACCAATCATAAATTCTTAAATTAAACCTAGTTTGGCCCTAGAAGTAAAATTTAAACAGATAAATTTATGCATTGAAGTGAAACTTTTACAAGATATTAATCAAAAACAAAATTAAGATCATTAACATAAAGTTTAAGAAATAACAAACCATAGTGAGGAAGTGGTCCACATCCTTACACTATAACTTTGACTTGTTCTTCTCATCTCTCTGTTCATATCTATCCACTCGTTATTATAGGTATATTTTATATATTTGCTTTTCTGCAGCAAAGAAAATGTCTCCATCGAAAATGACATAACGATGGATTTAAGCTCTTCCTTTTGCAGCTGAAACTGAGAGTTTTATAAAGATGGTCCGTGCTTGTGGAAGGATCTTGCAGTTATCCTTGTTGGTCCATCTCAGTTTGTTTTTATTGCTAATTTATTTTTTGGTTGAATTAAGGAAGAAGGGGTTAAAGGGTCATAGGGTAACAACAGACAGTAAACGAGGTAAGAAGAGAGGGCCCCACGAGAAAATGAAAACGACAAAACGTCACAGCCAACCAAGCTTTCTCTGCCAAGATAGATTCTGTCCCTAACGAATAGAAACGAGACTTCTTGCAATGAAGACGAGTTAAAATGAGAAAATAAAACTATGTACAAAAATGAAAACTCAAGTTTCATTGATATTATGTTTCTCGAATGAATTTTTTTTCAATAAATCCAACAAAATATTTATCGAATATTGAAGAGGAAACTTATCTTTCACACGTATATATGTATGAACCGAGTTTTCTGTTTCAGCTATAGACTGAAGCAATAAGATTAATTCAAAGAAGAACATCTACAAGATTAAAGAATGTGCTTTTACTGTCACTTTTCGCAGAACGTTGCATTTGGATTTCAGAGAAGCTTGTGGTTTCAGATTGGATATATGTGGAGCTTGTTTATTCTTAATCCAACTTAATCTTCTAAGGCTTATAATAATCTTTATATTTGTTCTTTTGTGAAATAACTATTATAATTCCAAATTTATGAATTCCATTTTCTTTTGTCTTGAACTCTACTTTAATGCTAAAAGGAAAGGCAACTTGTATAAGAAAAACACTCACTCTATATAATTAACATTTAAAATCAATATGTTGATATGTATACATACATATATAAATCATATTATAATTAAAAATTACAACAACAAAATACATAATTTTTTTTATTGGCAATAATTTCTGGAGAGAGTAATTTGAATTTCATACATAAATTATCTTGAATAATTTTTTAATTTGAGTAAATTTCATTAAATTACAGGTATGGTTGTACAGGTTTTTTGAAAAAGGCTGGGGCCTCGGCTTCTCCAAAAAATGTGTTCGTCGTACTTTTCTTCCATCTTTTAAAGAAGGCTTCTACGGTGCATTAATCACCAAACATATTTATACCATAAGTTATTGTACACTGCACATGGTGGGCTAAACTTTTGGATTATAAGTCTGCATAATAAGATAGGCCCAAAACTCAAAACAAATCCACACAGTACAAAACGCTGATAAGTTTCACCTTCTCCTAAAACATGGCAACATGGCGCCATAACTATGCTGCCATTTGTCATTCCACAGTGAAGATCCGTTACTCCTCGGACTATGTCTCACTATTCATCATCCGTAACAGCTCACAAACTCTCATCTCCACCGCAAACACTCTTTACACACCTGAGGCTGTTATTGCTTAATACCAATCATATTCATTGGTAGGTGAATACCAAGTTACACAGCACGTGAATTCAACAGAAATGAAATGATGTGAGGTTGGAACGTTCAATAAATTTACCATCTTCATCACTCACCGGATCGTGAGCATGGCTGTGCTACCTTTCCCATACTCAGCATCTCCCACTCCATCTCTCCACTTGTCTCAACAAAAAGGCCTTAAAACAAAACTAAATTCCAAAACAAGCGCGTTCTCACCAATCCAATGCTGTCACAGCCAGACAGAGCCATTCCTACTGAATGGCCTGGCCAGAGTTTCGGAGAAGATTCCTCTGAGCAACCCTTCTGTTGCAGCTTCCGGCGTGGCTGTTCCGCCCAGGCCTCGAAGGATAATCCTTGTTAGGCATGGAGAGAGTGAAGGAAACGTGGATGAGAGCGTCTACACAAGGATACCTGATCCCAAGATATCGCTCACCGAGAAAGGGAGGGCACAAGCCGAGGCATGTGGGAACAGGATAAAACAAATGATTGAGAAAGAACACGGACAGCGCTGGCAGGTTTACTTCTACGTGTCGCCGTATCGAAGGACCCTTCAAACCTTGCAACACCTCGCTCGTCCCTTTGAACGTTCCAGAATCGCTGGTTTCAGGGAAGAACCTCGCATTCGGGAACAGGATTTTGGTAATATATATTAGCTAAAGTACTCCGTACTTGTGAAATGTGTGTTTTTTCACACTTGAGTTCACTAATTGTTTGTGTGATTCAAAAGGGAATTTTCAAAACAGAGAAAAGATGCGAGTGGAAAAGGCACTTCGGCAGCTTTATGGCCGTTTCTTTTACCGATTTCCAGATGGAGAATCCGCGGCTGATGTGTATGATAGAATCACTGGTAATATTAATACGTATATGTTGTTCGGGAATCAAAGTTATCAAGTTAAGTGCTGATGCAGAGTTTTATACTTGTGGTTGAAGGATTTAGAGAGACGTTGAGAACAGATATTAATATTGGACGGTATCAGCCACCCGAGGAGAGGAAAACAGAGATGAACTTGGTGATCGTGTCTCACGGCCTAACACTTCGAGTGTTTCTCATGAGGTGGTACAAGTGGACGGTTCAACAGTTCGAGGGTCTCAACAACTTGGGCAATGGAAATATGCTTGTCATGGAAAAGGGTCATGGAGGAAGGTAGGTACATTCCTTTTGTTTACTTTATTGAATTAATAATAGGTTATTGAAATCTAACATGGAAAAGGGTCATGGAGGAAGGTAGGTACATTCATTTTGTTTACTTTATTGAATTAATAATAGGTTATTGAAATCTAAGAGGAATGCGCATGAACAGGTATAGCTTACTGATGCATCATGATGAAGAGGAGCTGAGGCGGTTTGGACTGACTGATGAAATGTTGATTGATCAGGAGTGGTAAGAATCATGATCCTTTTCACTTTAGCCTTTTCTTTTATGAGAACTACCACGTTGTTGTTTGATGAACTTGGTGGACTGAGAGGTGTTTGACATGTATGAAGGCATAAAATTGCAAGACCTGCTGATCTGAATTACGATTGTCCAATGGTCAATTCCTTCTTTCCCCACCTCGGTGAAGAAACATGCTAGTTGATCAAGAACTTGCAGCAACTTCAAAGTCAATGCAAAGGCTATAAACCACAGCATGTACAGTAAATAGCTCAGTTATGAAAACAAAGAGTAGTGTTGTATCTAGCTAACTAGTAGAAAAGTTTGTACCCAAGAATTTAACAATAGAAAAAGTTAGTATACAATGATCGGGTTACTTTTGGTTAGCACCGTGTTTGGCAATAGTAGGCGAGTATAGATGGTATAACAAATGTTTTGTTGCCTAAGTTGACTCCATTATCTGCGGCATCAGATGCAATTCTCAAGTAAAAATCATGACTACTCTTTTCCACGAGTCTTTACTCTTGATCACTGCATAAACCCAGAATCTTTAGTGCATCCATCGTCATTTCCAAAATAACTAAAATCTGATATTGTACGATCGAACACCTTCCTCTTATACACAATCACGGAACTTTGTATTATTTTTTTTCCTGTTGCATTTTGAAACTTATATCGTGGTACCAAACGTGCTTTTTAGTAAGCTTTCAAACAAACAAGACATCCTCGTATGGATGATTGTTTACGAAAAAAGAACCTGTTACAGGGTAGTTCTGCTATATTATCTTCAACATATGAAAATGATTATCATAATAAAAAGGCAAAAAAAATGTACTTCAACAACATGGAGATGCGGGGTATCGATCCCCGTACCTCTCGCATGCTAAGCGAGCGCTCTACCATCTGAGCTACATCCCCTTTTGCTATTATATTCAAGATTATTTTTTATGATCTATAACACAAGTTTGTTTTAATTTTCATGTAGCCATTAACCATGCATGTTAATCTTTTATGTACTGTCATTTTGAGTAAATCACGCGCAAATTACTTTAATTTCTAACCTCACAATTTACAAGACATCAGTTTAATATTTGAATCTAAAATACATATTTCACTCTGGTATTTAACATTAGTGAGCAAATAAAGTAAAATAAAATTAGTAAATGTTTCCTTAACTAATAAAAAATACATAAAAGTGAGTCTAAGTTAAATCTAGCCCAGTTTCCAGAAATAGTTTTTGGTCTACCCAAATAACCCTCAATCTATTATTACCATCAACAAACATGCTTAGTTTTTTCTTGATTTTTTTCATCAAGGTTTTTTTAATGATGCGTTGATAAATTTTCTTAAAAGTTTTAAGTTCATGTATAGTACAATAAAAAAATTAGTTTTTTGTTTTTACTATTTTAATGTATGATTTTCATATTTGAAACTTTTTATTAATTCAATAATATAATTCACCAAACTAATTATACTGCCATATTTCCTATAAATGAGAGAGTTAAAAAAAACATCATTAATTGAACAAATGGGAGAATTAAAAGAAAATATCAACATATCCTCACGGTGGTAATTACAATCATGTTTTAAAATTAAGGCTAGTTTTCATTTCAAGCACTCTACCATAAGCTACATCCCGATATCATCAAGAAGCACTTTTGAAATTAAACCCAATTAAAAAACTATGGACAAGGGTGGCGGGCATGGGCTTCCCCGTGGAGCTTTGTGGTCTTGGGCTTCCCCGTTGACCTTTGTGGTCTTGGGCCAATCATTCAGGTCAATCTGTACATTAAATATGCCATAAACTCTAAAATAGTATTTTTTTTTCTTATTATTTTTTTTCAAGTCCTCCAAGTTATGAGATTGGGGATGGCAACGGCTGGGTGGGACTGCCACACTATTATTCCATTTTTATTTTTAAGTAAAAATTAATTTTCACCTTTATATTTATGAGATATAATTTTTTTGTTTTATATAACTCGTATTTATCTATTTATATTCCAAATATTAATTAAATAATTTTTATAAAATATTTAAAAGCATGATATAATTAGTTATCTAAGTTTAAAAGGATGTGTATTTCTTTTCTTCGTAATCAAATGTTAAAAAAATTATAATAAATATATAAATATTAAATAGAAATATCAAATAATAATTATATTAAGGTCAAATAATTACAGAAAAATAAAAATAATAAATGTTTCTCTTATAAATAAGTTATAAATTTAAATGAAAATATAAATATAAATTTTTAAATTATCTAATAAATTAAATATATTTTAATAATTTAAAATGAGAAGTATGAGAATGGTTTTTATAACAGATATAAAGATATGAATACCTCTTATGCTCTCGTAATTTTTAAATCGAATATTATCAACAATTATACTTATATCCAATAAATAAGAGGATTTCTTGTGGAAACTGATACAAATTGGACATTTGTTATATTTTACAGGAGGGAACAAAAATAAATCATTTTTGTGTAAACAATAACAAATTTTGAAAATTTAAGATTTATCTTTTCATTTGATGAAACCTCGTTAAAAAAATGTATACATACCCAAGAAAGTAAAGTATATATAATACATACCAAGATAATACTATTATATCTTCATTATTGAACAAATAAGAAATCATAATATTCTATCGTACCCATCCACACTGTAGAAAATTTAGATTAATAAATATCATAAAACAGTTGTATAAATATATAATCCTGCTAATCTCTATCTTAAGACCTGTTCTAAGAGATCGGTGATAATTTATGTCAAAATATTTAATAAAGTTTTATGCAAAATTAAATTAATTTTTGTTTGTCTCTATTCAACACTATGAATAGGTACAATACTATGAACAAGTACGCTTTATTAATAAATAATGGCTGAAATATTGTAAAATAAAATGTATTGATAATAAAGATAAATTTAAGATAAGAAAAATATATATTTTAAATAACGAACAAAGTTAATTGTTAAAAAGATGACTTAAATGCTTACTTCGTTCTCAGAGATGAATTTCTGTTTACTACCAGGATTTAAAATTGAAGACATTGGATCCCTATGTTATGAAAAATATATGAATAAAGTCTAGAAAGAAAGAACAAGTTCAATAAATCATTAAAGAAAAAGCTGAACAAGAGATAGAAAAAGCTGAATAACATAATAGAAAAGAAAAAAAGTACAACCACATCAGTATGGACTCAACGTCGTTGCTGTCAACTTAATGAATAGGATCATATTCATACATTTTTCATAACATGACCCAATGTCTTTATTTTTAAAACTGGATACTGAAAAAAAATTTACATCTTAACAAGGACGAAGTAAGCATTTAAGCGTAAAAGATATATTTTGAAAAAAAGAATCCGATTTGTGATTAGTATCTAATAAAAAGAGTGTTGCAGAGTTGATAGAAGATGGTGACATGGGAGACCTTACTGCAGAGGCTGAGAATCAAAAGCAGTTTGAAGTGGCTGAAACAACACCCTATTTTGCCTTTTGTCTTTTCAACCCTTTATGCTATCAAAATCTCACTTCTAGATAACTTTGCACTTTGCACTTTGCACTTTGCACACCACCACTTACTGCATCACACTGCTACATATTAGTTAGCTGTTTTTCCCACTTCCAAATGTCTTCAGATGTATATAATATTTATATATATATTTCTCCAAAAACAAAAAATGTACAACATATTTTCCTAATTTTAAAGCTTGACATAGGTAAAGTGATCATGAGAGACATGTTTGTAGTTAAGAAAAAAGATGATAAGAAATATTAAATTAGATGTACTATTTGTAGCAATAGCAATACATGAGAGTTATTTCTATATGGGGATCGGATGGACGAAGTGGAGCCACGTCATTGTCAGAAGTGGTTGAATGGTTAAGTATTTGAATTTGGTATATTGTAGTGGTCTGAGCTCTCAGATAGATGAAAGTTATGAGCAGAGGCTATATAGCCTTTATTTTTATAGATAGTACCATATATAGCTAAAATCAATAGAAAGGACATTTTGGGTTAGGTACTTGTTTTTCACTCTATCATCTCACACCACCCTTTTAATTATTCAATCTTATCTTAATGTGCTAGATCTTACTAGGTCGTAGAATGTCTTATGAACATTTTTATGCTTATCTCTTACCTTCTTATGGTTGCTTCTTAAGTTCATCTTCACCAAAATCTTAACTACAAGAAAAAAGTCCAACAATATTATTATAAAACTTAAGAGTTCATTTACTAAAATTACTTATTTATTAACTTTATGAAAAATTTGAACACTTGTGTGTTATTAGAAGATTTATAATATGATTAAAAACAATTAAATATTACATAATAATATTTTTGTTAAATATTTATAAATATAATTTTGAGATGTCCAATTCATCAATTTTTTTTACGTTTTTAACTCTCTCGTAGTAATTCTTATAAACAATAGATAAAACAAAATTATATTTTTAAGTGATATGACAAACTTAAAGAATGTTGTTTCGGTAATCAGTTGTCCAATATTCATTTTTCAAGTTTAACTATTGTTCGTCAATACCGATTGCAAGTTTAAAATTAGTTTGATTTTAGAAAAAATAATAATAAATACAATTAAAGAAGAATCTACCACCTTATTTTGTACTTTTATTTATAATTTTTTGTAATTTTTCATTATAATCTAAACTCCACCAACCTTGAAAGATAATTAATTAAAATGATTGTCTACCTTAAATTATTTCTGTTTGATTGTTGAGTTTTTCTGATAAAAATATCGTCTTGATCGAAAAAGTCACCTTGTTGACTGATGGATTAATCGTTCGACCAACTTATTAATCAGAAGATACTATACAAGTGTAATTAAAACGAGATTAAAATAATTATTATGTTTGATTAGTGTTGGAAATATATATTTATAAAAGTACGAGAGGACAAATGATACGGAGAAAGGAGAAAGCGCATGTATTAAAGACGTGAGTGACAATTTTGCTTCCAACTTCTTACTTTAACTATAGTGGCAGACAGCTTCTGAAATTAAACTCAAGGTTTTGGCATCAATAACTTAACAATGTCATTAATCACAGGTAAGTCAGAATCAAATTAATAAATACTTACGAACGTAATTAGTGGGAAATTAACTATTAAAGGCTGCTGCTTTTGCTCTTCCTGCAAACTCATCATATGCCTACTGTACTGCCATATGCCACCCTAATTTTCTAATACAATTTAATTACAGTCAAAACAAGTCAATAATTTTATTAATTTAGTTCTAAATCATTGTGTATTTTTATTTGTTCAATAATTGTTTGAGACTTATATATTAAAGTAATTCTTAAATCTTTGGCAATGTAAAAGTTCAGTTATTAAAACTAACTCAAAACACTGAAACTTTATATTTTATGTAATACTGAATATGTTTATAGTTATGTACATTTAGATTAAAATTTTATTTTAGTAAATTACGATTAATTTCCACAAGCACAAATATTGTATTATTTTCTTTTCTGATATTAAAATATATAATTTCACTTATTTAACTGTGAGATATAGCACTTGTTAAGATGAGTAATTTATATAACTTTTTTATTTCCTGAAATATATAAACATGAAATTGTATCTTATGTTAAAATTTAAAATTTAATTTACTAACGAATAATTTTGAAAATTAAATATCTTCAAATTAATATTTTAACTATAATACAATTAATTTAACAAGTTTCTTTTACGGTTAATTTATGAAATTATTATTTATCCATTTGATATCCTAATTTCTTCCCATATGTTCTCTCTTCGTCTTCTTTTTTTCTTTCTACACTTTTTGGTGTGTCTTGTTAGTTTCTAATTCTCTATCCTATTTTTTCTTTAACTTTGTGTGGCTTCTATCTTTGTTTTTCACTATAGTTTGAGTTTTTTTTTTCTTTCTTGTATTATTTATATATCAAAGTCTAATGCATCAGCCCAATTAAAAGTTACTCAAGGTTATATTTCCATCTCCCACTATATAAATTTTTATTAATGAGAATAAAATTTACCATAAAAAAATCTTTTTAAAATGTTGAGAATAATTAGAAAATAATTAATTTATGTTGATGTACACCGAGAAGCATAAATAAAACTATAAATATAGATGTAATATGATTCAATATTTCCTTACCTACATCCATAAATACTTGGAACCTTTTTACAAAAACCGTCCAATGCATTTTTTTTTTGAGAGGAACAAACCATTCAAAAAAGTAATTAAGTTGTGTAGTCAACTATCAAATAAACACTTCATTTTTTTACAGTAGTTTTCATTATTCTTTTATTTATACTACTCATGAGACTTTGATAAATGTAATAACCAACAATAAAAATAATATAATTATTAACATGTTGTTTTGAAAAAAATATAAATAAATAGTCTTGCAATCAATAATTTTTTTCCAATAAGAATTATTTTAGAATTTATAAAGAAATATAAAAATAATAAAAAAATGATACATATTTTTTAAGTATTAAAGTAAAAACCGTATGCTTTAAAATAAATAAAAAAATACACCTTAATCTCTTAATTATCTAAGATTTTCTTTTAAGAATAAAAAATGAATAATATCTCAAATGTGATAATTAACTTTATAAGTATTATTTCAATATATTTAAAGTTATAATATTGAAATTGTTTGTGATGATGTAAAATATGTTCCAAAAATAACTTTCAATCTCATAATCTCGAATGAGAAAACGGAAAAGTGATTTTAAAAGCGATTCCTCTTAAACTTTAACTAAAGAGCTTGGAAAAGAATATATAGAGGAGTCATCTTTAATCTCAACTGAACTATGTAAAATTATCATACGTACTAGAACAATTTAGTCATAATAACTCTTATTTAAAAGCAATATATGTATATTTGTAAAAGCGTACATAATATTAAAAAATTTAAAAGAGAATATGACGAAGAAAAAAACATTTTGATAATATTATTTATTAAAAAAACTTTAACGATAATATATTTTAATAGAAAGATAGGAAGAGATACAACTTGATATATTAATATTTTGTAAAAGTATTTATACACTTAATCATGAATAATTTAGAAAAAAATGTTTTATTAACTTGTAGAAAATAAGAACCTATTGTACGGATGTTTAACATACACACACAATTTCTACACTGGTAAGATATTATTTCTCTTAAAAAGAAGAATATCTTATGTGTATATAAACTTATATCTATGTTTTATTCTATCAGGGGCTTTGTTTGTATTTTAATTATCTTCTTCTCAAATAAAGGATTATGGTTCTCCATCTATCTCTCACAGACCACCTATCAGAGTTTCACCTTACCATGGAGGGATGTACTGAGTATGAAAGGTTCAATATACACATAAATTTTTATATTGGTAAGATATTGTCCGTTTTAAGTTAAATTCTTATGAATTTATTTTTGATACCATTCAAAAAAGTCTCTTATATTTTATGTGTATATAAATTTATATTCATCTGGTTTATTTTTTGTTGGTATCCTAACCCCGAAAACTATAATGTTAATGTGTATGCAACAACAGTCCAAAAGGGAATGAGATTGGTGGCGGGTTCCGGTCTTAACCCGGTTGCTCAAGAGCTCCACTGCTACTGTTACAGACTCCAAATTAATTCAAACTGGGCGAAAGGTGTGTGTAAAATTAGTGGAAAAATTATTTCATAAAAGAGTATTTAATTATTTGACAATTACATATTATTGATTAATTTAAAATGTTATTATTATTATTAATATAAAAAGTTGTTAATTGATAGTATAAATGTGAAAGCTTGGTTTTGATAAAATAAGGGAAAAGTAAAGAAAGAGTGAGAAGAAGGAACGAGAGAAGTGTTAGTGAAAGTAAGAGTGTGATTAATTTATTTATGGCATTGAGGAACAATGAATGGGGACCAATAGTGTCTTGGATGCATCAGACAAGATGTCAGAAGAGATTAGGAATAGGGAGTGTTTGGCGTTGCTCATGCCATTGCCTGTCTCTCTGTCTCTCTTGTGCCTCCTCACTCACTGCTGCCCTAACCTAAACTAAACCAAACCAAACTCAACAAAACAAATTCTTCTTCTCTTCTCTTCTTTTCTCTTCTTCTCCTCCATTGCTTCCAGCCCATTCTGCCTCCTTCATGTGCCCATCTCCCTCAATCATATCTCTCTCCCCTACATTATGTTACCAATCAAACACACTTTTTCTAGTTTTTCTCACAAAAATTATATCATGTATGTTTTTCAGTTAAGATCTGTACACTCTTTTACTGGAACAGTATTTAATTTAAATTATTTGCATTTCGCTATAACTCATGAAGGCGGAGAATAATCCTGTTGTGGTTATAATTATGTTATTGAAAATGGCAAAAAGGTAATATTGATGAGTTCACGGGTTTTGCTGGTAAGTGAACTTCCCATCAATCTATTTCTACCTAAAATTTAACGCTACTTGCAATTCTGAAACATGCTTTAAACGCATACAGAAATAAGCCTAAGTCATGGACCCCTATGCAACCTACCATTTATTACTACTATAGGGGTAGCCTACTTTTATATTGCCCTTCAATTTGATTCTTCGGTACTATTATTTTAGTCTTCTCTAGTACATCTTATTGTTATGTCACAAATTTTTAACTTTTTTCTAATGCAATCGATGAATCACAGTTTTGTAAGTTTTCTTGGAGACTGATAGAATAATTGTGTAACTAGAATTTTCATTTGGCAGCAGGAGTTAATGTAAAAAAGTGTCATGTCATGCATTTATCCATGGAGTGGTAGTTGATGGTATCTTGGGCGTCTTCACGGTCTTCTCTACTCTGGAATAGTCTTCGAACAAAGGGTTTGAATAAAGTACTCTTCTTTCTTAGATGTTGTACACTACGTGTGGTTCTGCAGAAAAGCCAAAGTCCAAATTCACATTATGATATTTAAGATGCTACAACTACGAGTTAAAGAAAAGGATAAAGTGATTGGGGACAGAGTTCTTTCCTTTTTGCTAAAAACACGAAAAAATGGTAAATGATTGAATAAAAAGAGAAAGTTTGAGGGATAATCTTTTTGAAAGAGAGAGAGGCATGTCTCAAAGCATGTCAAATGTTGTTCCTTTACCATTCTTCGGTTGATTCAACTCATCGCCACCACTCTCTTTTTTCTTCTCGAGTGGCAAGGCAGATGGCAGTAGTAATGACAAATTTCATCTGTCAGAGGATCGAAATTGACAGTCAAACACTCAGAAGGTTAAATGATCTTATCTGGAAATTAATTACAACTTCCATGTCCTATACTCTGACACCAAATTAATGTGCGCAAGAAGATATTTTAAGTGTAACGATATAGCATCCAAGTCGTTGTTTTCCACAGAAGAACCTTTTTGAAATTTTCTGCTCAAAAAATTAATGCTCCAACGTATTGCCCAATTCAATCAGTGGGGTTTTGAGTCATTAGTTATACACTCCCCAATGCATATGACCAAAGTTGACTGGTTGAGATTACAGAGTAATGTACTCCAAAAAAAATTATAGACAGAAGGCATCGTTCCAAGGTTTTAGGAGAAAATCTTGTTGTCATCATGAACAATTTGTTATTGAGATTATGGCAGCTGTGATTCTGTTACTGCTCCGGTCCAGTCATGGTATTTACAGTAGTTACCAGCCATGATTGAATTTTCACTCGTCTGCCTATATTTTATTTAAGCTGGACTTGTTTATACACAATAATCCCTTTTGAGGACATGTTAAGATATTTGCTGATAAAAAAAGTTCTGAGATATTTAATGACACGTCAATTCATGAGCTAACACAGTTGTTTCATAAGTAATTACAAGTGCTGACACCGGGATATGAGTTCTTTCAAACTTATCCACGGCATAACTTGTTCATTTATTTTGCCAGTTGTTTTGTTTTCCTTCATCTACTGTTTAAATGGACACAAGGGATCTGATTTAAATTGGTGATCTTGTTTAGAACTTATTAGTACCAAAATTTTCGTACCTTTAAAAGAAAAAATCCTGCGAGTATTTTGATTCGAAGTGGGGGAGGAGCAGGAGAACGTGAAATGGAGTGAGTTGGGTGCAGAGAATCGATAAGAATATTTGGTTGCCTGTATTTAGTAGAACAATGATTCAAGGAAGAGAGAGAAGGAAGGATTAAAATAACAGGAGAAACCAACGAATAAGACAGCAGTTAAAGGTAGCATAAAGCACAGTACTGTACATGCTTTTCGGGTCATTACTTTATGATCAAAATATTGTCCCATTTCATCTCATCTCCATGCTCCATGCTCCATGCCTGCCATTTTCAACAAAACCAAACCCCAATTTCGGTATTTCAACATCAAAATCTCACCCCTCCAATAACCCATCTATTTAACGCCTCCATCAAAACCAAACTGTCACCTCTTGCTTCTTCCTCACACCAATATTTTCATCTCCAGATACTTCTGCCTGTGACTCAAAAACATGGGATTTCCAGTGGGGTACACAGAATGGGTGCTACCCAAGGTGCTTCTTCATCTGCTATCCGTATTGGGCCTCATCAGAAAACTCCTCACCATCCTCTTGTGCTACATGGGCTTCCACGATTTCTTCGAACCCGACATTGCGTGGCCCGAGAGGCTGCCGGAATTGCAGTCGGTGTCGGCGGTGCTGATCCGGGAAATCCTGCCGGTGGTGAAGTTCTCGGAGATGGCGGGGGCGGAGGGGGAGGCGGCGGAGAGTTGCGCTGTGTGTCTGTACGAGTTCGAGGGAGACGACGAGATCAGACGGCTGACGAACTGCCGCCACATATTCCACAGAGGTTGTCTGGACCGTTGGATGGGGTACGATCAGAGAACGTGTCCCCTCTGTCGGACGCCCTTCATACCCCACCATATGCAAGCTGCCTTCAATGATAGACTGTGGGCTGCTTCAGGAATCCCTCAATTCTACTACAACGATGAATGAAACCGTCACTGTTCCTTTTTCTTTTTCCAACATTTAAGGATGCATGGATGTTAACCCTCTTCTTCGCCATCTTTCTCTTGTATATATTATATACGCAACTTCAAACAAAATCCAAAGCTCATAACTGTTGTTAATTAGATATATCCCTTTTAATTATTTTAGTAGCATTTACCACCATCAACCCAGTGCTTAGATTTGCGATCTTTTATTGCTAACGAATTCCGGTTTTGATGTATTGCGTACAAGAACTGTATCACACTGCTAGTCGTCTGCTCCTTTATCGGTTTTACCTCCATGGAAATCAGACAAAGCTTGTACCTTTTTCGACTCCTACACATCATTAATTTTGAACATAAACATACCATATTACATAAAAGACGACATGGTCGTGTTTTTACTGTCATTGCGGCGATAGATCCTTTTCCCTATTTTCAATGTTTAATTAATTTGTACTTCTTTTTAGATTTGTAATTCGTGTTTTTTCTATCCAAAAGTAACATCTATTTCGCTTGTCTGAAGAATGATAGATTAAATTTTGAGTTTCTCATTCATTACTTAGTCAAATGTAAAAAATAAAAATAAACAGCGTCGATAATAGTAAACAGTGGCATAAGTTATTCGAAGAATAAGTTTTTGAGAATATATTTATAGGATGAAAATTTTTTAGAGGATAGTTTATTTTGTAAAAGAATTTAAATTTTTCAATAAAATGTGTTATTTAAATAGAATATTTTTGAAATTTATAGAATAATTTGATTGCGTAAAGTTTGAATTATGGCTAAAAGGAATAAACAAATAAATCAAATATTTGATCTTGCTGGGCTGATACTCTACTGGGATCCACAAAAATGAATGGAGTGTTTTTCCTTACACCACTCCACAATTTTTTTTCTGTATCTTTATACTTTTAAAAATTTTTCAAAATCACTTGTATTTTAAAAAATCCTATATGTCATTTCTTTTCCTTAACGGATTTCAAAATTCGTTCAAAGATTTTTCAAGCTTTCAATAAATTTTAAAATCGGTTAAATTTTTCAAAAAATCTTTTAATAGATCTTGAAATTTATTAAAAAATTCTTTTTCATCGATTTTCAAAACATATTCGTTGAAGAATATCGATTTCAAAATTTGTTAAAAAATTATTAGAATTTGAAATTTATTAAAGAAGATTATTCTTGGAGTGTAAAAGTACATGAAGAAATGTGGAGAGGTAGAAATAGAAATACTCAAAGGAATGGACCAATTATAAAAGAAAGAAAAAAACAGTTATTTGTGAAAGAAAACCTTTTAGAAACTTTGTCAAGATAGTAATAAGGCATTTCGTTATCTCAAAAAATAAAAAGAATATGCCCAGCTGAAATATCTTCTTATCTCTACATCCGCATAAAAGTAATAAAAATAAATAAAAATACTGATAAGTGTCTTTAGGACACATCAATGAAATAAAAATATTTAATAAAAAAATCTATTATTATTAAAAGCATACAAACAATGTAGTAGTTAATTTTTTCTATAATTTATATGTTAAGAAATTGTTCTGATAATAATAAAACCATTATTTTGAAGTATCTATTAGCAAGAATAACAAGTAAAACCGTCTAAAACAAGAAAAAAATAACGAGATGTTATCGGAAAGGAAAAATCTTGTTTGACACTGTTTCGCAATCATTTAACATGATAAAATAGTCATAAAAAAATAATTTTTTACATTTGTAAAAAAAAAGAAATGAAAAATAAATAAGAATAATATTAAATGAGTGTAAAAATTTTTACGTGTCAAAATACTGTTAATGAGTATTAATGAGCAATTAGTAAACCATATACAAGCGAATTTAAAATGACATTCTATAAAATCTTTGAAAAAAACAATTTTACCTGTATGCGAATTGCTTGACTTATTTATTTTTATGGGATGAGAAGACTTTATATTTACGTTTGTACTTTCTAAAGTTTTTGAATTTGATATTAAACATTTATTATAAATGGTATAAGTAATGACTATGACTATAATAACACATTAAAAAAAAAATGAGTCTAAATCAGTCTTATAATAAAATTAACAGTAATGATATTTCTAATAGACATGAGACTTTCAAGACTAACATAATCAGATAATAAAACCGTTTTAAAAATTCAGAAACTAAACGAGGATTTACTCAATGTGTTCACATGAATAAAAGAAGTTGATGGAAATGCAACCCAAGAATAAATCATTCTTTAAGGAGAAGGAGGAAGCGTTCTTAGGCATGTGAATACCCAACAAAAGGAGGAACTGCCTGATCAAAACGTGACATTTGTTGAGCACTGGGAACGCCCATTGCTGGTTGGGGTCCAAATTTTCCATCACGCTTGTCCATTTCAATCTTATGCTGAGTCTGCAAGTAAATTCCATTTATGCTGTAATTTCTAAACACTTACAACTAAATTATTGACTATTTATGAGTTATAGATGTCAATTTTACCTGCATGCAGGCACACACCCTACAAGATTCCAAAAGATACGCATAAATTAGCAATAAATTTCGCTATAAACTGCACAATCAAAGAGGAGAGAAAGGCTGCACAAAGAGAAGTCTTACGTGCAGTAGACAAAGTCAGCCAAGCAGGATAGTAGTTGGGAAGCCTCTCGAAGTTCACTATTTCCCACAATACAAGCAATGATAGAAAATATGCAGGCTAGTTGTTGAAGGCAAAACATGAAACCCTGAATGAATTACAAAATCAGTTAACAAAGTATCATAAATGAGACACTGTGAGTAGTATATTTTAGTTTGTGTGTGAAAGAGAGGCAGAGAGATTATACAATGATGCAATTATCACACTGCGTAGTTTGAATGTTAAATTCATCTTGTAACATAAACCGAGTTGAAGCCACTGAATTTCCAAAACAGCAGACAACCTGAAAAGTGAACGAGATAATACATGTAAAATGTAGCAGAAAAAGGCCTTGTAAATAAGCACAGAAAATACATGTAGAGTGACTTAGAAACCAGACAACCCAGTAAGAAGAAAGGTAAAATATAAATGAACTACAAGTCAACGTTCACCAAGTCAAGGAAGTCGAAAAACAAAAGGAGATTGACCTTAATTGGCATAGCAATAGAAAAGGAAGGCATTCTTAATTCATCAATCAGATTTCTGATAACAGAGAAATCATTATTCATTCGGAGGCAAATTAATTCAGATGTAAATTTTTCAAAAGGAAGCAAGAGATGTGAACAATGGTATATACCTCCACAGCGAGGCAGAGTTCAGGAAATTTGCTTTCTCCACAGCGACCGCTGCAGGGCATGTAACCAGCACAACATGTGTATCTGGAGCAAGCAAAACAAAACCATAAAACCACATAATCCAGATTGAAAAGTTAGGGAAACTTAAACTGAATAAATTATTACCTTGACATATCATCATAAAGAGCTCGTTTACGCAGCAGATATGATACACACGGTGCACTATAATTGGACAAATGCAAATTAGATTACCCCCATGAAATCATGAAATAGATACATTAAGAAAGAACTATAATTGTGATTCAACTGGCAAGGAATTGGAGCAAAATAGGATCCAAAAAAGAGAGCGGCAATTTGATGATGAGGATTTGTGAACACAAGTCAACGTTGACCCATGACTGAAAAATTGGAAACATTTGGAAGAGAAGACTTACCACCAGAGAGCAAAGCATCAATCTGCATATATGGAGAACGAATACGTGAGGAGAGCATATGATGTGTTTGCGAATATGTTGGTGGAAGATAGAACTTACAAGGAGTGTCAGCTTGAATGGTAGTGAATAGATCAGTGTGCCAGAAATTGCGGAAGTTCTGGCGAAGCTGCATCTTCTCGATATGCTGCTGCGATGCCATTTTCTTCCTCTGCTTCACCTCGCCTCACCGATCATCAACCTAGTCTAACCAACCACAATAAATAAGGAAACGAAGACCCAACACAACGCAACTGAGAACAAGTCTTCGTGAGAAGTTTCAACGTTAAAAACAATGCTACCATTATTTTGCTTTTAAGTTTTGAAGTGATCACCAATTGGCTCATTCTTGACTCGTACGTAAGTTGACTCCTTATACCTGTCGTAATAGAGGAAAACCCAAAGAGTAAGATTTAGTACAAAACAAAACACAACTTTTACGAAGAAAAACACTTTAACCAGGTTTTTTAAAGATTACCGTATTCAATACATTTTTATTTTATTTTATTTAACACCAAAATTTCCTGAAAGTAAATACTATGATGTTTTAAATCATTAAAAAAATTAATATACGTAATACTATGATGTTTTCCATTTTAAAAATTTGAAATAGAAAAATGTGGAAACGAGAAAAAAAGGAAGCGCCGCTTAAGTTCATTGAAAAATATTTCGATAAAAAAATTAAAAGGATTTAACCACATTAGTTCACAATAAGAATTAAAAACTCTAAGTTGGGTAGTTTGGTTGGGCCCGTCCACCAAGTATTTTTGTGGTTAATTAAGTTTAAGGTTCTGTTAACAGTGCGTTTAAGTCGTATATCAATGATTGGAAATGACTGCTTCTGCTATAAAAAATAGTTTAAATAATATTGACCATTTTTTTCTGCGTATTATCAAATGTTTTTCCTACTCAATCATCATTTCTATTTGGATGCTCGAACAATGGAATAATAAAATCTTTAAGAGTGGAATAAATAATTTGTTTTCTAGGTTTGATTGTTCATTGGATCTCAATAAAAGTAAAGAGGGAAAACCATGTTGGTCTGGACCTTCTATAATTATAAGTTAAATAAATTTTATTCAAGTTTTAGGTTTGATTTTAAGAAAATAGAGCCATCCGATTATATTAAAAAAATAATATATTTTTTTATTAACCATTGATTTTCCATATTATTCTTTTCACACTTCAGCAAGTAAAATAATTTTAAATTGATGATTACTTTTTTTTTTATCAATGTTGGTCAAAAATAATCATCAATTAAATTTTATTAAGATATTTCAATTAAGATTGAAATTGACTTCGACTATAATATTATTCTTTTCATAATTATTTCGGCTGAATGAACTAATGAGTTTTAACTGAACTGAAAACACACCAATAACATAAAAGAAAAATATTAAATTATGCAATTTGAAGGAATCAATTTTTTTTTTATAAATTTCAATTTTTTATATAATTTATAACAAAAACAATTTTATTTTCTTATGAAATTCAATTACTACATCAGAAATTAAATCTAATTTGTAGTGTTTTATTTCCTATACTTGAAAGAAGTAATTATTTGTAACATATTTCTAAAATAATCTATCAAAATCAATTACTTTTAAACAGTAATATTTCCGTAACATTCACTCTTACAAAAGTATAAGGGCAACATTGGGAGAAAATCATATTTTTATAGGGAACGAACAAAGAGAAGCATGAACTCAAACAAACGCACTCGTTGTCTCTCTCTGTGTCATGCCATGAGAGAGAGAGAGAGAGAGAGAGAGAGAGAGAGAAGAGTTAGTAATGAATTTGGAATTGTGTTGTTTCTGTAGTGCAGGCCCTCCATTAAATAAGTCAGAGCTTTGCGGCTTCGCATAAACAAACACAAAAGCTTTATCACTTTCATTTTTTCATTGAGTCAAGAAACCTAGAACTTTCCTTCAGTTGTAGAGGACTCAGGGTAGAATACTGTTAATTTCAATGTCTTCTGATCTTTATACTTTTGACATTCCTTTCCCCAGACATTCAGACACAGACAACATGGTCTCCTATGAAGCAGATGGAAATCTTATGTTTTCCTCTGATCCTTATTCCTTCCCTTTCCTCATAGCCTCTCCGGTTCACGATGTGGCTAAAGGGAATTTTAACAATTCTCTTCACCCTTCTTTTTCCTCTTATTCTCCTCAGCAAAACCAGAGCCTCTGTCATGCTAACCTGGCGCAGCCTCTATCAAATGGCTCAAATATAAAGTCTGAGTTTAGAAATTTCTCTGCTTTGCATGGCTCCGAAGTGACAGGTGAGGAGTTCCAAATGGGTGTGGATTACTCCTGCAATCAGCACTTTCTTTCTCAAACTTTTCATGCTTCTTCTGATAGTGCATCGAAGGTAATACAAAGGAGCTTCAGCTGTAACTCTTTCGGGGTGAAGCCAGGTTTCCCCTTTGAACCTCACCCCGACACTCTCATGGATTCCCCAAATTTTCAATTGCATGCTCTGATTTCCCCCGAAAACAGTTTCTTCACGGGACAAATGAGGAGGGTGTACAGTACTGGAGATTTACAGGTTCAGTAACAAACCCACTTCTTAAATTTATTAACTTTATTTTTAATGTAGTACTTATCTTCGTTTGTGATTAATATCGTCATGATTGTCTTTCGAAGGTTAATTACCAAGACAGCAAATAGAACATATTTATTTTATTTTTATTATTAAACTTCGTTTTAGTTTCTGTTCAGAACACGAAAGCAACAGATATGTCTCAAGTGGAGAGCCCCTTGTTGGAGGAAGCATACTTCAAAGTGGGGCGTTACAGTGCCGAAGAAAGAAAAGAAAAAATCTCTAAATACAGAGCGAAGAGAAGCCAGAGGAAGTTCAACAAGATTATCAAGGTACAGAAGACAGTAGTGTTTGTTTGGAGATAAATATGTTTTTGCTTTTTTAATTTTTATTTTGACGTGTATTTGACTGTTCGATTAGTGCTAATAATTGAAAGACAAGAATGAGAATGGTGCATTAGTTTATGAAAGATGCGGAGGAATTTAGAGGGAAATATATACGAATGCATGATTAAGAGAAGAAAATGATAAAGAATAGAATTGAAAAAGAAAAGGGTCTGAATGTGTTGTTTTTTATTGTGGTACCAACCAAAACCAGTATGCATGCCGAAAGACGCTAGCCGACAATCGAACCCGCATACGTGGCAGATTCGCTCGCAACGACGAAATCAGCGAGATTCCGAAATCACTTTCTTCAACTTCGACAACAGAAGAATATGAAGACGAATTCTGGGTAAATACTATTTATTAACGTTTGATTGCTCTTCTTAAATCTCGATTAATAACACATTGTCATGTTCTAATAAGTTAAAGTTCGTGTCTGAGATATATTTTTATGCAGGTTGAGTTCATCGAAGGATTAAACGAGGAGGTCATCGGTTAGATGGAAGCAGAGTTATGGAGCTCCAAAATTTCAGTTTCTGTATTTATGTGTCTTTGGAGTCTTGACAGAAGCATCTTTTTGGATGACCCTTTCTATGATACCACTTAGAACGAAACAAAACAGCCTTTTGTAAGCAAAGGAAAGATTACAAAAGGCTTTTCAATTCATCTCAATTAATAAAGTCTAAGTATATTTGGAGCATAAGATATGGTAGGGAAGTCAAATGTAAGTTGGGAAGTTATAGGTTGTTTTTTTTTGCTTAATTCTATTTCATTTTGATTTCTCCTTTCTATTATTGTTTTCCATTTGTTCATTGTATATAACCATGTATCATATTCAATAAATGTATGGTTAGAAAATATGTACACACTTTCTACTCTTTCTCCTATGCTCATCTTAAACAAAAACGATAAAAATAGAAAGGATGAAATATCTTTTTAATTCTTATAATTTTATGCAAAATTAACATTCGTTCTCAAACTTTAAATATAAATTAACGCAATTATTTTAATTGTCAATCACCTTTAAAAATTAAAACATGTAATTAGGGGGCGCGAAAAGAAAAAGAAACATGCACTTGAATTGAAGTAATGAATTCGTTTTGTATTGAAGTGGCAAATATAGTGTGTTTCGGTGCATTATTAGAATTTTGTGAAGTGGGCTTCTCTTTTCCAATCAGATACTGGTCAAATAAATTCCAAGGATAAAGGACGGTTATTCAGTAGTTTATCTTTATATTTTTATGCTGTCAAATCATTGCCCATCATCATTATATTTAACACAACAACATTAAATCTAAACAAAAAAACAGGGGCCTCCAGTTTCTTAACATAAATTTTATTTTTCAGCCCTGTCGGTCTGTAATGGAACTTCATTGGTAATAATCTAATATATCCTCTACAAAGTTAACTTTTTCTAATTTAAATACAAAACAGTCATGTGGTACAAGTCTTCCATGATTACCTCATTTAAATTTCTTTTACCTTAAGTGTATAGTTTTTTAATTTTATAACAAGCATTCTAAATATCATATTACCAATATTTGTATTTAATAAAAGTATATTTTTTTATGTTAAAAATATACGATCGTTCAATATATGAAATATAAAAGTATTGCATATACAAATAAAAATAAACAAAACCTTGAAGATATATCATCAGACAACAAGATACCAGGACACGACTGCTTTTACAGATTCTCCTGTTAAATTATGAGGTGTCAGTACAAAGAGATGCTTCTGATATTTTTAGATAATATCCATTTTCATAGCCCTCTTAAACTTTGGCATCTTTTTGTACATTTTAATAATTAAATAAAAAAATATTTTTAGCTCGAAGCAATCGGTTGAAGAAAATTATATCTGTGTAATTAATTCATTGAATTAATTTTTTTACACAGATAATTGTTAATTCATTTAACTAGAAAATATGTACTAAAACTTAGTTAATAAATATAAATTTTGTAAAAATGTATTGACATGAAACGTTATATAACGGACATTTTTGGATAACAATATATTTATCTGTTTATTGCTTATGGTTTTGAGTTAATTTGAATTCTTGTTGTCTTAATTAGATTAAAGATGCTTTTAAATAGAAAATAATGTAGATGGGGTAATTATTAAGTTGAATAATAAAAAGATTACTGTGTCACTTCGAGATGAGTGGAATAATATTCCTAATGGCACCACCAAGAAGACGGATTATTTAGTCCTATTTTTATTTGAGATAAATTAGATAGTTCCACAGTTAAATATTATAAGAGAGAATAATAAAGATATTTTTAAAATAATGAAAGTAAAAATGAAAAATACGTGCATATACTAATAAAAGTAAAAATGTTAATGAAATATATACAAACATACTGATTAAATATATTTATTTTATGATTTTTTTAGTTACCCTTACTCTTCTTTTTATTTTGGGATACATGCATAATTATGTGAAAGTAATTTGATACAAGTTAAAACTCAGGAATTTAACAGCGACAACTTATAAAAACTCCTAAATCTAATTAGTAAGAAGTAATCTAAATGTTCTTTTTCATGAAAGGTTTGACATTTTGGAATGAATGATGAGAATGGTAGAAAGGGGGCACTTCCACAAATGCAAGGGTAAGCTCTTTTTGACAATAGCTTTGTGGGTGTTTTTGTTTAGTATGAAATTCATTGTACATGATCAAATTCAATTTGCCTACGTTAAAGGTAAAAGCAAAGAGAATATTCGAGTCAACTTCCAAGGTCTTCGCATGCAGGTTCCTCACTGACAATGTTCATAGTATCCTCAACGATCTCACCAAATATCTGATAGCGACACATTTCGTGATGTCTAAGTGCGTTTGCACGCATTTCTTTTCTTTGCTTTCTATTAACTCCACTACCAAAATTTCTTCCATAGCAAATCAAATTCTATACATTTCAAATTATAAATTCAAAATTTCAAATTAAATAAAAAAAAATAAAGATGAGTAACATTTTACAACATGTATATTTTTTGTTTCAGGCCCAATACTCATGTGGGCTGGGCCACACCGACATGGAAGTAACGTTCGTTAATATCATACGTGGAAAAAGATTACGCGCCAATAGCTTAACTGAAGCAGTTTCATTCTTGACTTGTCTGTTCATCTTTAAATACAGTTCCACTGCACTCTTCTACGTCTCAGCTTCTTCTTTCTTACTATCTTTGATTTCGTTGCGCGCCATTTGCTTCTTTTCATAGTTATCTATTTTCGGTATTCATCAAACTTCTTTGTCTCTATTCATTAGTTCATCGTTCTTTTAATTCTGTTTGTGCGTAATCACTGAAAGGCTGTTCTTGTAAACTGAATGAATTTCGATAAATGACGCTGCAAGCAACTGTGCTAACTATTATTTTTTAACACTTAGGATCCGAGAAATGGCCAGTTATCGGGAAGACCCACATGAATCCAGCGCTCCACCGCCGGAGCCACCGCCGCAACGACCACGGCCATCACGCCCACCACCGCCACGACCACGGCCTTCACGCCCACCGCCACCTCCTCATCCCACCCCCGTGAGTTTCCCTCCCATTTTCTAATCACTATTATGTAGTTCTTGCGCATGCGTTACTTTTTTCTTTTACTTATTTGAAAAATAATCACTCAACCACTAAAAACTAGCGAGACCATCACGGTTAATATGAGCTAGTTTTGATAAATTTGTCATATGAATATTAGATTTATAATAAAACAAGCCTGATCAAGATTAATAATTCTCTTCCTCTCTCGCCCTTGACACATTCTTATGCATATATGCTTTCATATTTGTGTGTGTGTACTGTGTGCAAGATTATATGACCGATATATGTAAAGAAAGTGTTTAGTGTTAGAAGATGTTCAAGTGTACCTTTTCCCCAATTTAACTCAGTTTTCTATCTATTAAATTCACGGATCTTGGAAGTATATTCATCTTCATTTCTTGGAGCAGGAAAGGGTAAAAGATCTTCTGGCCCGGCCAATGCGAATTGAGTGAAATTAAGCTTTCTAGAAATTATGAATCAGACCCTCTACCCCGTACTATTGCAATTTCATTTTTTCGCCTCAAATTAATACCAATAGTTTCCATCAAATTACACTGGTGTTTGTTTGTTTCTACCATATACTATTCTACGTTTTTTTAGCATTTTTGTTTGTTTCTTTATTTCCTATCTTTTTGTTTTACCTGTTCTTCCTTTTTCCAAAGCGAGGATCATGTTCTCAAATTTTGTGCGGTAAATATGGGTAGGGATTCTTGATCGACTTCAGGTTTAAGAAGCTTTGATCACTCTTTTAAATATGTTTGATTATTCTTTGTTGTTGAACAAAGCACAGAGGACATACAGCATTTGGCATTTCTTTTTGGTGTAGAAGCTCTTTGAATTCAACTCCTTGTAACTGAGAATTTACAATTACCACCGAATTCTCATCCTCTAATAATTTTGTTGTCAATCTTTGTAGCATCGGTTCATTGATGTGTGTTCGTTCCCTCTGCAGAACCCAAGACTATTCAAGCTTCGATACTTCTTCAATAACACTTGCTTCTGTCCCAGACCGTTTCAAAAGTCCTCTAGGTCTCAAATTCCACCTGAGGCCCCAAAAATAGTATATGAGAATCCTTGGACCTCAGCTCGGTCAGACTGGCAGAAAAAATCGGAAATTGGACCTCAATCTTGCAATTCAGAGGAAGAGGAGGATATATAGGCACAATTTGTTATGATGGTGATGTTGCCACAGGTTCTTTATTCTACTTCTTTGGCTTTATGCATTAACTAAGCTTGATCACGCCATCGCAGTTATCTTATTCTGTTGGGAATGGACGTTATTATTTGATGAATTTTCATCATTTTATCCTCACGGTATGATGGGGAGATGCCAAAATTCTATTCAAATTGTCCGGTGTGTAGTCAAGTTTGTCATTTACTCATGATCGTCTGTCTTGTAGATTTTTTGAAACATAAGCTTATGAGTGTTTATGTTTCTTATAATGCAGGACGTAACTCGCAGAAAATTAAAGACGACAACTACTTAGTTTGCAATTCAAATGCACTTCCCATATAATGTAGAGAGTTCCCGAGGTTACGAAATCCATGTAGTTCTTTTGTTCCTTTTTATTTTCCACGATACCTTATGCTATGAAAAGCAAATACACAATGGCCACAACAGTAGAATGCAAAATTCATTTCTTTTCATTGTTCCTTTATTTGCAATTTGAAGACAGTTCAGGTGACATGTAAAGTGGGGTTAGTAGAGTTTGTGATGATGAGAAGTCTTGCACAGATAATCCTCCGAGATATGTTAGTTATATTACAGATTAAGTTTGATAATATACTTCATCCTCTTGTTTGATTCAAATATTCAGATTAAAGACTTCAATCGAAAGAAAGGTTAGTCATGTCATGCGATTCATTCTTATCTGAGAACTAAATAAGTTTTTTTTATTTCAATGCTGTATTTGAAATAAAAATGGCTTAAATAAACTTTATTTCTCCCACTACAACTTGTTTATTTAAGAATGAAAAGCAATTTAAAAAAAGTATATCTAATAATAAAAGAACACGTCAATTGAATTTTTTAATAAATATTTGATAATATAAGTTATAATTAAAACATTTTGTTTAATAAAAATATCAACAGGCCCTTATAGCTCAGTGGTAGAGCGTCAGTCTTGTAAACTGAAGGTCCGTAGTTCGATCCTGCGTGAGGGCAAAATTCAATGTTTTTTAATTTTTTTACTTCTTCAGATTAAAAGTTGCTGCAATTGTCGCAAATTCATTCAATCATTTCTGATGTAACTAAATGCATTTTATCTTGGTATTCTTTTTCTTTTATATGTATTTCTCAGACTTCTATGGTGAGTTTAAATAATGACAGATACATTGGATGCAGACGGTGCTAATAAAAATAGTCTGCAACTTTGATCAAGTTAGCTGGTAACTTCTGAAAACAACTTTTGTTGAATTTTGCGAGTAAAAAACATCATGATGACAAACATATACGTTCCATGTTCTGTTTTAATGTTTAATTAGTCGATAACACTAATACACGGTTTCCCTCAAAAAATACGAAGAAGGACAACAGGGAAATTCATCCATTAAATGACACCCGTTGTTGCACCCTCAAATTGAATCAACTCACCTTATAGCAGAAGCAAGTACAACTGTAGTTCCAGTTATTCATAACTTTAATGATTACAATTTATACCGTAACTGTATAAAAGAAAGAAGATCGACCTAAGACGAAGCTTTTATTGAAACATGTAAAGCATTGCTGCAAAGGCATCTTACGTCTGAATAAATATAATTTAGTGAATAATGAGATATAAACTTATATCAAATGGCAGGAATATGTGAAAGATGTGATATATCCTTAGATGAATGCATAAAACAAATAATTTGATTGTGTTCATAGCAGTGGGAATTGGGAAATAGCAGAAGGATCGTTATAGAATTTCTGTAGGGATGCGTACTAAGTATGTGAAGATAAGAAACAAAAAGGGATATTTTTTAAAATGGAAGGAATTTAGTTTGAGCTCTTTTACAAATGCTGTAGAGAGAACAATGAAATAGTATGCAGAAATTTTATTAGAAATGTTGTGTATGATTCTAGAGTTTCCTTACAAGATACAAAATCTAAGTCGAAGCGTGAATTTGGACATTTGCATTAAGCCTGGTAAGTTTGCTCAATGTTTCACGAGCTGATACTGTATCTGGGTGATCTTCACCACAAATTGAAGTCCTAATGAAAACAGCCTTCCGGATTAGATCATCCCCTACGTCAAACTGAGCACCTCTCAGCATGAGCTTGGCCCTTGTCTCGAGAACAGTGGCTCTAGTCAATGCTAACTCTTGCCAAAGGCAAGGGTTCAACTGAGCATTAGTCTGTATGGATCTCCAGCAAAGTGATTTGTCGAACCACTTGTCAACAGGGGTAACAAATGCTTGGTCTGCAGCTTCCAATGCATTGGTGCACAGACGCAGAAGCTCAAGGGCAGCAGTGCATCGAGAATATGTAATGAATGTGTGAATTGCAAGAGGCAGAACCACTCTTTTCACAAAATACAAAAGCTCAGACACTTTGAGCTCAACAATCACAGGATCGTGACCAAATCCAAACAGCAGAAAACATGCAGCCCATAAATGATCCAGATTTTGTGATATCGACCCGTTACTGATGATAGCTTGAATCATTGCCTGTGCAGCTCCAGTATTTTCTCTTTTCCGTGCATACAGTTTGAACACTTCATTGATATGGATATAGCCTTGCTTGGTACTGTTTCTTGCAATATTGAACCTCAGCAATAAAGAGGATGCTTCTAATTCTGGTTTTTTGGCGTAAGAGGATGGGAATCCACATGATAATAATTGAAGCATTTTTCTCCAGAAACACGTTCCCTGACATCTTTCTGGTACCTTTTCAGCAGCAAGTGCCAGTAGGGAAATCGGAATAGCACCAGGTGCAAACCATCCACTTACAAGCACCATTCTGGTGGCCAAGCTTCTTGGACCATCCGCATGATCAAATATGGAGAAACAAACGTCAAAGAGTTGAAGAAGGAAAGCGTTCTTCGTGAACGAGAGAGCTTCTTTATCACTCCATGGCATCTCCTTCAAAGGCATTCTGTTTATGGTATCTAGGAGCCTGCTTGGTGTTATGGGTAGTTCCGACAAAATTGCACTGATAATGGCAAGGCCAAGAGTTAACCTTCCAACTTTCTCCTCAATACTTCTCAGGGCATCAACCTCTGCCACCGAATAGTCCTTACTACTACCTACCATTAAAGACATTGCCTCAACTCCAGATAAGTATGAAAGTTTCAACGGTTCCAGGTTCATGATTCGAGGAAGGCGTGTTGATACAATTACATGGGTCTCAACCCCAAAACGAGGGAGAAGATCCATGACAAGTTTGTGATCCCACCAATCTTTTTCACTTTCCAAGTTATCAATGATCACAAGATATGGAATGTTTTTCATCAGTTCTTTGCGAACTCTAGAAATAGCAGCCACTTCCTGTTCTTCAAAGCTTCTTATTTTTGTTTTGTCCAAACTATTCTCGACTCCCACATCAACTTCTAAAAATGATCTGATATTTAGATAATTTTGTCTGATGTATCTGCTCTCCCCTCCTATCCATAAAACCATCTTGTATCTCTGATGAAATCTGTAAGCAAATTCAAGAATAAGTTCCGTTTTTCCAATTCCTGAATCCCCAGAAACACAAGCAATCCCTTTCCCATACAAAATCTTCATTCCGTTTTTCCTTTTAGTATACTTTCCCCGTTTGAGCCTCGGATGGTTATGCCTGTGAGAAAATTCAACACCTTGCATTTCAATGTCTTTTTCGGACTCTTTCCAGACAACTGGTTCTTTTTCCTTCCTTCTGTCGTTCCATCTTTCATCTATCATGTTGCTCTTGCCCCAACCAATTCTCACACTCTTTCTCCTGGGTCTGGCCTTAAGTTCAATATAATGTTGTTCTGCATCTCCTGTGACATCACCAAAAAGTATAAATTCTAACTGTGAAAGCTCTTTCTTTCTGCCTATAAAATTATCGTTTCTAATGAAAGGAAACTCCTCTTTTCCTACTTTTTCTCTCCACTTTGTCACACGTTCTGCGACACTTCTCCTTCCTAACCTCATTGCTATTAATGTGACAGCCCTCAATATGCAATCTCTCCAGTTGCCATCCTGAGCTTCCAATTTGCACTCATCAACCCGAGATAGCCCATGCACGGCATCTTTCCACTCTTGTTCCAACCCTTCATACGAAAGCCAAAGTTCCCCTCCATGTTTTTCCCACAGCTCACCCCTCTTTTCAATGATATCCCTGACAAGACAATCAGCTGGACTCAAATCAAAGTATATTGGGATCAAATTCTTCCTCCTATAGAAAAAATTCAGCTCCTCAATAGTGTATTGGTTCTTGAAAGACTTCTTTGTTATAATTACTATCCCAAAAGAAGCAGCATCCATAGCTCTCTCGGCAATGCCAAGTTTGCGGGAGCTCCTACTTCGAGCCCTGTCCGAAACAAAGCAACTGATGCCTTGAATTTCCAACTCACCACACAGCCATTTAGCAAATCGTAACAAAGGGGGTTTGCTTCCATGCAATCCTATGAAAACATCACAACTTCTCAGCCTATAAGAAGAAAATGATGTGGAACCTGGAGTTGAGGATGTTCTATGGTTTCTGTCTTTCTTAATTCGTCTTTCTCTCTGTCCAGAATAACCATCATCATGGCAATTGGAGTAACTAGATATGCTGCTACTTGAGATGCCAACTGGGGAAGATTTACGGTCAAGTTTCATCAAACCGCCTGAATTGCATCCAGCTGGAGATGCAGATACATCTGAGACATTACATCTAACATTTACTGTTGAATTTGGTTCTGGAATCTCTAAAGTGGTGCTTGAGGGAGTCAGACCTAAATGGACTGTGTTACTTTGAGTATCAAGCCTGGCTGAGTGTGATAATTGACATGATGATGGTGATCTGGGAGAGAAGAAGGGTGACTGATTTGCAGAAAAGAAAACAGAAGATGATGATGACATATTCCTTGTAGTCATGGCTGTCAAGGAACCAAATACGGGGCTTTCTTCCTGAATGTCCATGCCTGTTCTTGTAGGATTCCCAGTTATGCAAGATACCAAATCCCATGCACGCAACCACAATTTTTACCTGAAGTTTGGATGACGATGTCCAAGTCAGTCACAATTGCACAAATGTAGCCAAACTGAATGTTTTATATTGTTAGGTTCATGCAAGTGCAGAAATAAAAACAACATAAAAATATGGTAATAGAGCATCACCAAATAAGTTATACATCTCTATCTTTACATGACAGGTTAAACTTTACCCAAAGAATCAAATTCCTCGACCAAATAACTTACGAAAGGTGAATTTTAGGGGGAGGAGAGGTAAAACTTTACAGAAAGAGATTGATTCCGAACAGTGAATGCACCCCAAAAAATGGTATCTGCTTGGGGAATACAATCAATTGATGCAGAGTATTCGTGTCTCATTAATTGAATAACCAAATTCAAAAGCAAATAAGAAGGCACCATATCAGAAAAAAATACAATCAGCATAACCCCGTCTCGGAGAGAGAATTCAGAGAATCATAAAACTGCATTGGGATTCAGATCTGAATACTTACAGGGATACCAAACAGAAACACTATGGGTGGATTCTGTATTTCACCTCCAACCAAATCAATCTCTTTTCACTGAACATTCGAGGAAGGTCATAACGATTAAAACTTAGAACGAGCCCAGTTTGCAAGTACAACAACAGTGAAATAACTAACTGAAGAAAACCACCCAGAAACACATCATGACCACAACATTGCATAAATAAAGATACAGTACATACTATTCAATATAGCTATGATTAAAGCGTCCACTGGGTCACAACTATTGAGTGAAAGGCCAAAACACTTGGAAATTAAGTGGTGAGACTGAGACGTTTGGATGACCTGAGAGTATTTGGGAGACACCTCACACCGGTCACAGAAAAGAGGGAAAAGGACAGACTCGTTGAAAATGAAGGCAAAAACTGTACCTTTTTCTCAGAAGGGAAGAGAACAAGTCTTCTGGGGGTTCAGAAACTCTAGCTGTTTTTTGATAAGCACGCTGTTTTGTAAGTATATACATATATATATAACTGAAACCTGTCTCTGACCCTCTCAAAACTTCGGCCTTTCACACTCTGTCCATTATCATTATTTGTATGACTTTCTTCAACCTTTACAAGACATCTGCTTTTTAATTTTGGGTAGAGAAGTAGTATTTAAGTCTATATGAGTGTGAGAAAAATGGTGTTTGGGGAAGGAAGGAACAGGGTGGGAAGAAGGCAATGGGACCAAAGATGGGATCTGAGTAGGGTATGGTGTGAATGGAAGTAGGCTCCACAGCCATTTATACGAGTGTTAAATTTGCAGATATTGAGCAGTGTGATTTTGGAGCATTTGCATCGGTTTGTTAAAAAATTGAAAAAGATATAGAGTTACCTGTGGGGAGCTTAAAAGGCAACTTTGATTATGATAGTCGAAAGCAAAACGTGGAGTTTTGTACTTTGTTGGATATGTGACTGACGTTTTGAGGTTCTAACTTCTGAGGAATCCTTTCTCTGCCCTGCCACTTCTTTCTTCTTCTTCTCTCTCTGTTCCTCACTGTACTCTATTCTACTCTTTTTCTTTTTAAAGTACACACAAATTACATTTTTCCATTTCCTTATACTTGTAAACATTTCCCATCATTTTCAATAATTACACATTATTCCCTTGTAACTTACCAAATTATCAAATTATTTCCTTAAATAAATCCAACTGCCTGTTACTATTGCTCTTATATTTGTCTTCTAACATTCAAAACATTACTGTTCCAAAACGCCTCATTTTCACAAATATATACGTAAAATATTATGTAAGTTTTTTTAAATGTAAAGAGTAATGAGTTGTTATATTGAAATGTTTAACAGGAGTAATAATGATTATTTTTTATAAAAATATTTTAATTCATTCCTCATGCCAGAAATTGTTTTAGAAATTACTGGAAAACTATTTCCACGTTTCTTTCTGGGAATATTATTTTTTAAAGGTAAATAATCTTTTTTCAACTTCAAATTTTTAAGAAACTACAAATTTATTTTCTACCAAATAGTTGACAGTACACCGGATTAAAACAAATACACGATTTCTTGGTCAGTTACTAATTTATGATTTTTACTGGCATATATATAAATGGATATTTGAGTTGGGTTTGTGCGTATGGTTTATTCTGTTTATTTTGGTGAAAATATAAGAAAAAATAACTGAATATAGAATTACATCATTGGAATATATTTTTTTTCCTCTTCCACTGTAACATCATTGGTTATCAGTGCTGCTCTCACTCGTTTTATATCAATCTATATTTCACGTAGTATACTTTTTTATTTTTTAATTTGGCTTGCAAATTTTATCAATTTGTGATCAAAGAAATATTTGACACAACATGTACTAATTTAAAATGAAAACCTCAAGCCAATTAACATCATTACAAATATTTAATATTTATGCCTTAGCATTACAATAAATTTGTTTACTCTCTAAGTTTTTCTTTTTACATTTTAGTATTAATGGGTATAATTTACCAATGTATAAATATTTTATCTTTAATTAATTAAGTTTGGTCACCAAATTTGAAAAGAAAAAAAATTACTTATTTCATTTAATTTGGCTGTGGAAAGAATTAAAAAAATGTGCATATACAAATATATAAATAGTATAAATAAAATGTATTATACAAGTATTTTGAATTTAATGAGTACTTAGAAGAATTACAAAATAAAATTGTGCATATAATTTACAAGAAGATTCATAATTTGATTAAAAAAAGAGTTTACAGGGTATTTGTTTGAACTTAAAACTAAAAAAGTAGACTTTTTAGTATAGAGAAAAAGTCGAATAATAAATGGTAAAATAACATTTTTATTTAAAATGTGAGATAAAGTTGATTAAAATAGGAATAGGATGAATGAAACCAAAGATAGGATGATGAATTTGATTTTCTAATGTGTACAAATGATTTGAATGGAACAATCAAAGAGTACGGCAACCAATCAATCCATCTATATAAAACACCAGGACAGGACAAAAAACTTCAAAAGTAGAACAGAGTTCGGACAATAATTATTTTTATATAAAACATGTATACCAGAAAATAATATTATATATATACACATTTAAGTAAAATTTAATTTTTATTTGTAGAAAAACATCTTTTACATAATAAATTAAAAAAAACTCTAACATGAAAGAAATTTGTTAGCTGCAACGGTCATAAATTGCATGGGTTTAGATTTTTGTTAAAGAGTTGCTATTGCACTCAAAGTAGGTGGATAATTAGTTAGAGTAATAAACCTATTAAAGTTATATTAATAAATTAGTATTGTATTATTATTAAATATTAACATAATACACATCACACACACATATGGATGAGTTATAATTTATTGCAGTATTAGAAATTACATAGAGCACATGCTACCATGTGAGACCTCATCACATCCCAATTTATTATCTTTCTAGTGAATGGCTTGGATTACGCCACTTGCTACTAATACAACAACTTTCAGCGTTTTATAATATTTTTCCGTTAAATTTAAATTATTGATTACTTTTTATATCTATATAAGAATTTAAAAATACTATCAAAAAGAAAAATGACTACTACTCCTACTGGTAGTAGATAAAGAATAAAAAGAAAAAAAAAAAAAGCGAATGTGAATCTAATAAGGACGAAAACACATGGTCATTGTTAACTCACCCTTCTGGCATAGTACGAAGATAGCAAATTCATCATTAATGGGACCCAACTGTGCAAATATATAAGGATTCTATCTTTATATATAAATACAATCCAATTTCATGGTTTCCAAAAATGGTGCTGACTATAGCCCAGTTTTTTCTCCTATCATAGGACACCAACATTTCAATTTTACTTTCTTCTTTTATACCTAAATATAAGGCATGCACTTGTAATTTTTTCACGTTCATTTCAAAATTTAGTGGAATTTGTCTGATTATAATATTTTTTTAAATTATTTTTAAATATGTGTATATAGAAATAATAGTGAACTTTTAATTTTTAAAACTATTATTTTAATATTTATAAAATAAAGATACTTTGACATTTTACAAGATTTAATAATACTTTAGTAAAGAATAATGCAAACAAGAAACGATAAACTACCCACCAGATTTTATTTATAAAATACCAAAATTTACATTTGGAAAATTATTTTGAACTTTGGTATTTACTGTTAGTTTGATTTTATGTAAATATCTATGCCGTGTTTTTTTAACATGAAGTTGATGTCATAATAAACTTTCGTGCTTGATGCTTATAAATTTCATGGTAAATATTTCATTAAAAAAATACAGTTTTTAAGTTAAATTTCATGAAAGAGCTTCTAAGTTTTTTGGGATGCATTTTTCAAGGTAACCGGATTACCTAACAGGAAGAAGATTTATGGTTTATGATTTGAAGATTCTGGAATATATAAACCCCTTATGTTTTATTGGATGAACGAAACTGAGACACTAGTTGCTGGTGGGTGATTAACATAAAAGATAAAATACTTTTTGAATGATATGCGTGAAATCACTGCAACTTCAAAAACTCTAACAGGAAAATGACACCAAGAAAGAAGACAATGCTTTAAATTTCACCTAATGCATAATTAAATTCCACTTCACCTAATGCATAATTAAATTCCACCTAATATAATCTTAGTGTGTCACGCCATTAAAATTTGTTTCGTCAATATGTCCCGACTCAATAAATTCAACGTTCGTCCATTGAAATCAATGACAAGATTCCATTTGACTCAATTTTACATAAACAAGGACCTAATTGAAATAAAAATAAATACGAGCTATTTGAGACAATTTTCTAAACCTATTAATTATCTATTATGTTTTAAATGTGCACACGAATTGCATATCTAAAAAAGATATATTATAATAAAACAAACTATATGGTTTAAAGTTAAATAAAATATAAAAAAATATTATAAAGATGAAATTATTTAACTTATTATAAAGATGAAATTATTTAACTCATTTTAACTTGTGTCGTAACATTCATGTTGAATGTGAATAAAATAATGCATTTCGTGAAAAATTTGCATTTCCTATGATAAATAAAAAAAATGAG